CCCTCCTCCATGGCCAGGCAATTCCCATGCTGCTGACCTCGTGAAGGCTTTGGGGTCTCCCAGGTGCCCCAGTGACTGAAGTGCTGGAAGAATCCAGAAGATGAAAGGGAACGTGGATGTGCCCACTTTGCATGTGGCCAAAGGAAGCTTGGAGAGAGAGGTTCATTGACCTCAAGCTGCTGGGTAATGTGGTGCTGAACCTATGGGTGTCGGTGTGGAATGCAGTGGGGTCACCATCTGTGGAGGTGTTCAGGAACAGTGGAGATGTGGCACTGAGGGATGTGGTCAGTGGGCATGATGTTGGGGGGATTGGAGTTGGCCTTGGTAATCCTAGTGCTCTTTTTAGTGCTCTTTTTCAATCTGAATGATCCTATAACTGAAAAATGGGCAATGGGAGAAGGAGGACATTTCCTATGGGAAAAGGACCCTAGGACCTGGACTCCTGCTCCCACACCATAGTGCATCAGCTCCATTGTGCCCATGTAAGGGAGATCTGGCAAATGAAAACCTCGGTCCCATAATCAAATATTATTTCAAAACTAATGACAAACATCATCTGTTTCTGAGGCGGTCTTGTTTAAAATAATTCCCCTTCATACTCTCGAAATAGCAGTAATTGAAAACGGTTCTTTGAAACGCCAGTGCATACTTCTTTAATTATGTCTCACGCCGCCTGTTTCCAATGGAAGAGCCCTATCTGTTTGCATTTACCGGCCCTTATGAAAAACAGGCTGGGGTCCAAGTCGGCTGGAATCGAAAGGAGGAACGTTTCCCTTCGGAGGCATCATCGGAGCTAATGAACTTGAATCACGGCAGAAACATCTCCGCGAGCTCAGCCCGCCCCCGCCCCGCTGCGCTGTGCGGCTCACCCCGTACCGTCAGGCGGCGCTAAGCGTCCGCGGACCGCTGCCGGCGGTGGATGCGGGTGGGGGATGCCGGTCCCTAAGGAACAAACCTAAGCCTAAGGAACAAACACGCCTATCGGCATGGGTGGATGTTGGGGCTTTTATAGACCTCTGTTCCCCCAAGCAGCCCCACCTGGGCCCGTATCTTCGCGCTCAGGAGCTCAGAGCTGTGCAGCATCCCTTTTCTGAGCTCTGCCCATGCTGAATTTTGTGTAGGGTGTGTTCAATTTAATGCCTTTCTTATGGCCTTAGGGTGTAGGTTTTTTGTTTTTTTCTCTGTGCAGGTAGGATGCTTCCAAGAGCCTCTTCCTCAAGCCTCAAGGCTGGAGTACTGCTGAATTTAGGCTAGCTGGCACCGTACTGGATCCTGCCAAGCCTGAATGCTCACAGACCCATAAAGAGCTGCATGAAGCTGCAAAACAATTCTGCACTACTTGGACTCCAGAGCCCAGGGGAGAGTAAAAAATTCAGCAAGCTAACAGATATTTTAATCCGAATGCCCATTGTCCTGGAGGAGAGGCAAACTGCACAGGGGAGCTCTGAGCAGACACCAGGGCCAATGCCCCATAAAGGATTTACATGGCTAGGAGATTACAAATGGTCAGAGCCCAAGGACAAGCTGTGGGCTCCAGGATCATAGAACTGTTTGAGTTGGAAGGAGCCCTTAAAAGTCATCTAGTCCAACTTCCCTGCAGTGAACAGGGATACCTACAGCTCCATCGGGTGCTCAGAGCCCCATCCAGGCTGACCGTGGCTGTCTGCCGTGACGGGGCACCCACCAGCCAACAAAAATGGAGAAAATGCTGTTTGCAAAGCTCTTTGCTGGGACAACTAAAAGTAGCTACAGGCGAAGTGATTGCTTGCCTTGCTGTCTGGTCCACGTGCACTTGAGATTTATCGGTTGATAGCAGAAGAGCAAATGTACATCTAGTTTCAGATTCTGTGCAAATGAGTGGTAATTGTGGTTAATGGTTGTACTGAAGTGCATATTTTTTTTACCAATATGACAGCAATAAAAATATGATTTAGTAATATCACTACAGCACAAAGGTAGATCAGTCTGAGCTATCTGCAGCTCAGGGTGGGCTCACTGGGATTGCCCATTGATCTGTGCACAGGGAGTGCTTGAGGCATGCAATTGGCACACAGAGGAGTGTGGGTCTTAAAGAAGAAGGGGCTGTGTGACTTATTCTGCTGCTCAAAGCCATTCATTGTGCACAATGAGGAGTTGGGTGGTTTCACTTCTAAACCAGTCTGATCTCCAGCACTGCCCAGGAGCGGAGCATGGGGAACATATATGGGTTGCCTGTAAAGTAAACAGGATGAAGAACACAAGCTTAAGGGTGTTCTAGCAGTAGCTGCGTTAATCCTGAATACGTGATATGAGTAAGTTATAAAAGGTGATATCTCCCACAGATATATGGCAGGTAATCAAATACAGTGTGAAGAAAGCAATCTGCAGGGCAAACAAAACCAGGCCAGAAGTTCGGGCTGAGGCAGCTCCTCCAGGCTGGCCCTGTGGAACAGCGGTGGTTCAGCATCCCAAAAGAGCAGAGCCAGTTGTTATGTGAGAATGGATGTAAAAACCAGGGTGCAAGTGGGCTTCTTCAGCTCTCACTGAGGCTGATGCCTCATGAATTACCATGTCATCACAAATCTATGCACAAGGAGGAGAAGCCAGGAAAAATCACCCACTCAGTGCTGTGTGTATGGGCTGCTGCACCCAGAGATCATCCCCAGGGCCGGTGTTGTCTTTCAGGGACTAGAGAGAGACATTGTCTTCTATGGCTGGGTTTCCTGTAACTGGCAATTAGCAATCTTAAAACCATAATGAGGCAATTTGATTCCTTGCTGCTGGGGAGCAGCTGCAATCCACAAAGAGAAAAGGGGTCTTGTGCAATGCCCTGGGACAGCCAAGCATTGAGGGTATGAGCAAATGTCCTGCTTTGCTTTGGGGAAAGCAGCTGGAAGTGTCCAGCTTGCAAGAGCCCCTCTCCTGTTGGCACCACCTCATCCTTTTGGCTCTACTTATCTGTGCTGCTGGGGCAGGTGGGGTGAGGGTAAGGTATAGGAGTTGGTTGCTGCCATCCTGCTCCAGACTGGCTGAACCAGATGTCTTCTGTACAGGTATGTCTCTCCTGAGGACAAAAGGGATATGGTTAATTAGCAGGAATTATGCAGTGGTTAAATCCACAAAAGCTGTTTCAGGCAGGCTTGGTGACAAAGTGTTTTTTGCTGAGATTTGACCTGTGGTGTCTGGTTCTGTGCACGAGGACTGGGTTTGTTCTTCCTTGGCCACAGTAGTCTGCAAAAAGTGAAGCTGGAGTTTAGGATGAATCATAGAATGGCTTGGGTTGGAAGGGGCATCAAAGATCACCCAGTTCCAACCCCCTGCCATGGGCTGGATGCCCCCCACCAAATCAGACTGTCTGGACCCCCATTGAGTGATGGGGCTCCGGCCTTGACACCTCCAGGGATGGGGCAGCTACCACTTCTCTTCCCATACATGGAACAAACCAAATGGGTTGCCCATAACCATGTTGCCTCTGGCCTTAGCAGCTGTTATAAGGGTGGCAGCAGTCTCCTTTGTGTCACTGACAGAAGCAGGGTTTTACTCATGCAATAACAAAGGCACGTCCCTGAGTCCTCCGCTCCTCCTCCCAGGTTGTGTAAGCATTAAAGTAACACAGAAGCCAGGTAAACATTGGAACCCATTTTTGCCAGGTGGTTGCTCAAGAAAAGAACAATCTCATCCAAAGAGCCAGGTACCTTTGGACATTCATCCTGCAGCTCTGAGCTGGACAGCCTCTGACAGCTGCAGTGGTGATGGAAGTTGGGTGTGAGAGATGATGGAGTGGATAAGTTTTCACCTGAGGGTCTCAGCCATTCCTCAGTGCTCTGAGGATCCTGCCTACATCCAGACAGCACCCCTGGAAAATAACATGTGGGCAGGAGATAAAGTTAAGAAGAACAGAGAATCTGCTAATGGGTAGTTACTGGTGAAGACAAGGAGGTGGTCCGCAGGGCATCCAGCTCCAATGCTGGGTGGTGGTGTGGGGGTTAGAGGAGAGCTTTTACCATGGAGGATTGTATTTGAAACTGACGCAGCTATACCTGGAAAAGATTTCATGGACTTCTGAGGGGCTTTGGCCCTGTCTGGAGTGCTTTGGGTTGCACTTGCAGAAGAGAAAAGGTCCTAGGGTCTTCTGAACAGGAGCTGTCCCAGGACTGAGAGGGGAAAGTTAAGAAGAGATGCCTTGGATTTCAGCTAATGGATAGAGCAAGACAACGTCTTGCAGCCCTTTCCTGGAAGGATTTTGCTCACAAACAATAATGAAGAGGAGGGATGCAGAGAAGGAAATGAAAAATGTGTCATTAACCATTCCTCCAAAAACAAGAGGGATGCAATTAGTGCAAATGGGAGGTGGGTGCTGCCCATTGCCTCCCGCCTCAATGCGATGCCAGCTGCCGATTTATTGTCCCCACACGCAGGACTGCTGGGATGTTTCCCATTTGGCACTTCAAAGACAGGCAAACAATGGGGCTGTGCTTCAAAGAGTGAGGGCTGAGGGACGAGAGGGGCCCTGCAAGGCAGCCGCAGTGCCTCTGGAAGCTTTGCTCCTCTCTTGCTGCCAGCAGCACTAGGAACCCATCCATAGCTTTGTGGTTTCAATGGGTTGTGTGCTTCCCAGCAGCTCCCCAATGGGCATAGAGCATCCTTTTGGACCTGCCCATCTGTTGATGTTCATCCTTCAGCTCTTACACCTCAGCTGCAGCACAGTTCCTGCTCAAGTCCTCTTCCAGCCTAAGCTGCACACTGTTAGTTGAGCTGGAAACGTAGGTTTCTGTGAGATTACTTTTTTCCCATCTGCTGTTGCTCTTCTGGAGGTTGAGAGCTCCTCTCTGCTGCTTCTTTCCTGTAACGCCTGTTAAAAAATCAAATAGGAGTCTGCAGATGCTGGGCAGAGCTACCTTTGGTGCCATTAGAAAAGTTAAGATTTTTGTTATGTTTTTACAGACTTCTGCGCACCTTAACTTCTCTCTCTTCCTCTGCCTTCCCATATCTTTGTTTTCCCTTTCTGGAGAGGAAAAATGGAAGATATCCAAGATCTTCATTTTTAGGACAGTGGCACTGGGGAAATGATGAATCAAGAGGTCCTTGACCTTTTTGTTCCTGATGCTTGGCAGCTGTGTCACTGGGTAATGATTGACTCCTCCTACACTCCTGCTGCCCTCTCTCTGCTGTCCTCATGCCAGGCAGGCACTGCCATCCTCTCTTTGGTCCCAGGTGTCTCTTTCTAACAAATGTCTTCATTTGCAGAAGTCGTCCTCCTCCAGATTATGTCCTTCTGGACTCAAAAGGAAGAGCCACATCTCTTCTGGGGGGGAATCCAAAAAGCCAGCTTGGCAGATTATGTGCATTACGTCCACTTAACCATGACTCCATAACTGTCCCCTTGAAACCCAAACCAATTTCTCAGACAGTGGAAAAATTAATTATTTCTTTTTTTGATCTGGTTAGTTGGTTGGTTGCTCAACCATTTTGCTGGCATTCTCCATTCTATTTTATTTGAAGCAGAGGCCAGAAATTGATGGATGCACTTTCAGTGAGGAAAAGATGGAGAGCACAGAGCTGGATTTGGGCTTGCAAACAAACTTCTTTATGTTCGCCTGTGTTTTGTCCTTTTGCAGAGATGACTTCTGAAAAAAAAAAGACATTTATTAGACATGAGTCAAATTTGAGGCAATGGGAAATCATAGAATCACACACCACCTCTCTGGTCTGCCTGTTCTAATGCACCATCACCCTTTCTGAGAAGTTTTTTTCTAATATTCAACCTGAACCTGAGAGGAAGAATGTCTGCAATAAGAGATCCAGATGCACTGAATTAATCATTCAACTATGGGAAACAAATTTAAACCAGAGAACTGAGGACTTCTCTCATAACCCAGATCTTTGGTCACAGTGCAGTTTCTACCTATCTATATAGAACCTGAAGGATCAACTGAAGGTCAATTTTTCTCCTGCTGTCCTCAGTGGAAAGGAGATCAATGCAGGGAATGAGCAGAGCTGTGCTCAGTGTAGACAATCAGTTACTTCAATAACACAGCCTCAACATTCCTTCCATGTTTCTAGGTTTTGGGATACAGGATGCTGTAGGGACAGCATGCTTAACTGTTGATAAATTCTCCAGAGCTGGTTTGAGTGGCTGATGCACTTGCACAGAGATATAAAACTGCCTGGGATCAAATGCCTTATGTGTCTCAGCACACACATCAAAATTTGAGAGACTTAGCAGAGCATACCAGAGTCCTTGTACATGACACTGGAGGCAGTGAAGTCAGCCAGCCTTGCTTATTAACTACAGTAAGGACTTCAGTTTACTAGGCCAGTTCTTAGTGCTTTATGAAACTCCTGTTTTGGGGATACAATGATTACAAGGCAGTGGAAGGCTGTGATTCAGGTTTGAACACTGATGTCTTTTGGGGATAGACACAAAGATAGTAGGAGGCTTTTTTGGTAACTCTCTTCCTAAGAGTTATTTTAGTACAGTTTTGGCTGTTTTTATTACTGTGGTTAAATGTACTTACTTTTCTTCTTTAGAAATATGTGATGTCAGGTATCTGAAAAATGGTATTATCCAAAATAATTGGAAAAGCTATTACAGAGGTGAAAGAGCTAAATATTTCTGCAATACAAATTACCGTACTGACAATGAGGATGGTGAAATTATGTGCACAGAGAGTGGCTGGTCACCTACTCCAAGATGTATCCATAAAGGTGAGTGTGCTTACTTTACTTTTGTCCACATCCTGGAATGAGCCATCCTTTTCATTTTTTGGTGAGCTTGCGTTGCTGTCTTGATGGATCTGAGACTCTCAGTGCTTTATTTTTTTTTGTAATTGATCCAGTGGTGCCGTATTGCAGCTGATGGATAGGAACAGCTAACGTGTTTATGTGGCATTGGTGTATTGCTTGTTGGGGAGGGGTTTACTGCCCTACTTGACAGAGCTTTGTAGAAGATATGCACATTTTTCTTGAAGTTCACTTTCCTAAGAATTTTTTGAAAGGCAGTTTGTGCAGCACACGCAGCTCGGTGCAGCAAGGGATGATTCTTTGACCTTGAAATGCCTTCAACACAGAGATTTTTCTTTAACTTCACCTAATTAATTCAGCCAAGCTCATGAAAATGAACCAAAGCAATACACTGCATTTGTGTACTGTTCATGGAGTCTGTCTGTCTCGGTATTCACGTGGGATATAAACATGAGTTGAATTCTAAGAAAATAAACCAAGTGAGTAGTACCTGATTTTCCTGTTGTTGCTTTTGCTGCTAAGGGAAATTACAGGACAGCTAAAGCCTTGCTTTAGTCACTTCATTACCAAATAATTGGACATAATTTCTTGGAATAAGATCTCAAGAGAACAAAGGCCTGCTGACTGCCTTTGCACACACAGATCTTTAGTCGCAGGAACTTGGAGAAAAAGGAATCTTTCAGCTGAAGACTGGGATGAATCAATGCTGAAGGTCCACTAGAACAGTAGGGCTCTGGTGTAGGGTGCAAGTACCACTGTGCAAGATAAATCCATTGAGAGTAGCAAGAAACTATTAAAGCTTCTGTTTAGACTATTAAAAAACAAAAAAAAAAAAAAAGAAAGAAAGAAAGAAAAAAAGGGAAAAAAAAGAAAAGAAATTGAGCTTTAAGCCATTCAATATACAGATTTGACAGAGGTGCTCTCACTTGGTCTCTGTGTCAGAGGACCATGGATCATATAAGGCAGAGAAGTGTCCTGGGGCAAGAACTGGTGCTCCATATTGAGGAGAGGTTCCATTTAGTTGTCTGGACTGTGGGAATGAGAGAGAGGTAGACAGTGTATTTCAGATGTTCATATTGAGAAGAAGAGTGTGTTGTTTGTTTGTTTGTTTGTTTGTTTTTCAACTTTGGTGAAGCCTCTTGTTGCAAAACCTTATACAGATGCAGGAAAAGCACTGCCAGCACACTCAGTGCAACGCAATAGGCTACTGCAGTGCATTATTATTTACTTTATGTGCTCATCTTCACAGCCTTATAAATGACATTCATCTGCCATTTATTGTTGCCAAAGGGGACCCTTCCCTCCCCCCCAGCTTCAGCCAGAGCTGAAGGTCTGGTAGAAAAACAAATGCATAACTTTGAATGCAATGACAGCAACAGAATGAGAAGAAATCTTGAGGAGCAGGTTATTTCTAGGGAAAAAAAAAAAAAAAAAAAAAAAAATAAAAGCTTTTTTATCCCAATAGTTTATAAAAGTTACAAATTTTTTATTCGGTTGTAGACTATGTCACATTTCAAAGAGAATTCATTCACGTGCTGGAGCAGTTTGCAGTAAGGGACCGTCTACACGCGAGACAAACTGCCTCTTGTGTAGTGTTTCCTCCTGCAGTGTGGTATCCCTCATCCCATTTATACAGCAGCACTTCATTCACTCGGAGCTCTCGCTGGGTTGTGAAGTAGTTGCCATGATGTAACTCAGGTACTTAGCATGACTTAAATCAATAATATTGTTGGTTTCCCTTTTTCCTTTAAGCTTACTTATCTAACATTTCCCTTTAAAGTGATTGTATCTGAAGCAGTCTTTGAAAACTATGAACAATTAAAAATGCAACAGTTTACATAGGTTTTCTAGTGTTCATTTGGGTGCAAAGCTTGAATAGAAATGAGTTAATTTGAAACAAAATTATCTCACCTGTACTGACTCCACAGTTTTATCTATACCAATTCACAAAACAACAGCATGAAACATCTGACAACTTCATCGCATGAGGTACAGCAGAGGACTTATTTCAGGAATATTCAAATAGCCTAACAAAGGCATTTTGACCTTACAGGTACGGGAAGGACAGCGGAATTTTATGAACATATATGAAATGAGAAGGAAAGAAACAATCCTACCAACTTTCTTAGTACAGGTTGTTTGGGAAGACCATCCACCTAATTGACATTGTACTGTATCTTCAGTACCACCTCTGGGAGCTCGGCAGCCTTGATTACATTTGTGCTGTAGTTTCTCGTGTATTTTGAAGTACGTTTCTGTACTGTAAAAAATGCCATGTTCCAGAAGAGGCTGATTGCATTTTTCTAAATGAAAAGAGACAGTTTGGTTAGGAAGAAATAATTGATGTAGTATTTTTCCTGATAGGCAAGAAAGTGGGGTTTTTAAATTATTTCCATCCAATTTCATTTTCTTGTTTTATTGAAATGCTCCCGCAATCATTGAGCAGACGGTAGTACCATGGAATATGTCTCTGGAGCTAAAGAGGCTCAGATGCACATCTGTAACTAAAATGTCAATTATTTTTCCCAAGTTCAGTTACACTGGGCAGCTTTCTTGGAATTCTTAAAGAGCGTATGTGGTAAGAGTCCTTAGAACATATACTAGCATAAAACAATTCGATGTATGAATAAACATAATGGATTTCACCTTGACCTAGTTTACACATTTTTATCCCTACTGTTCTGCACCTTTTGTCCCTCTATGCTGAAGGAAATTGAGCTAAAACAGTTTTCTGCTAGAAGCAATAATGAAATAAAGAAGCGAACTCACTGTAGCATTGTGGCACTGGAGACCATCCTTTTTCTGTACAAGTTATTCTTCTGTACTGAGTCCTGGTTTCAGTTGTATAACCAGCCACGCAAGAATAGGAAAGGTTTTTTCCTTTATGCATAAGGAAAAAGCAACCTTTGAAATTGTAATAACATGGGGTAATCCTTCCATCTTCTACAAGTGGCAAATCACAAAGTTTTTCTGCAAAGACACAACACGTGTATTTCTCAGTAAAACTCTCATCCCATCTAAGAATGTGTTTGTTTAAAAACAGAAAGGGAATGAAATGCTGCTTACAAGGTCAAAGCTGGTGTATTTGGCTGTCACTGTTAAAGAAGAAAGTATTATTCTAACGCTATCATACTGTATTTTTTTACTAAACCTCATCCTTGGCGTGAACAGACTTATAACACACACTGACATATCGAAAATATCTGCCTATGTTCTTTAAGTTCACAGAAATACAACCTGCGGAATTAAACTTCCTACTATGAACAAAATGGTCAAAATGGATGCAGGGCACGTTTATTTGACTCTCTGTAGCCCAGAAGCTGTACGCACGAGCACCTTCTACTTAAAAACCATTCTGATGCACAGACCGAAGTGAAGTGGAAACGGTATCAAGAATTAGCTATGCAATAGCTGCTCATTCAGCATGGCAAACCAGCAGGAGGTAATACAGAAGACAACTTGCTGAAGGAATGGAGGTTAAGAACAGAAGTCTCAGTTCAAGCAGGATGCATTCTAGACAGACCCAGGAATTTCAGTCAGTACTGAAAACAGGGATAGGAAATGTGAAACACCATCTGAGGCTAACTTCTGCAGGCACCTTTTCACTTCTGCTCTTGTGCTCAATGGTTAGCCAGAACAGCTCAATTACTGAGATGTGCCAGCATACCTAATGTGTAGGAGGGCAAATTTCCATTTGTGTAAAGCCCCAAAGTAGCTCAGATACATTTCCCGAGAAAACTCTTCTGAAAAGAAATCTGGACCTTTCCATTATACAGCTTTCAAGTGTACGAGTGAATCTGTAGCTCAGATAAGCAGCAACAATTGATCCATGATTATCAGCCATCTTGCAACAAAACTATATTTAAAAGCAGTCTTTATTCTTGGTCAAGATATGAAAGATACTCCGCCTTAGAAACTTAATCTCCATGTTCCAGATTCGATGCATATTTATCAGCAGAAGAATTCAGTGTTTTTATCTTCTGCAAAGAGTGCCTGAATTCATCATAACTAGGAAGAAAAGGCAGATTTTAAATCTCATTTTCAGTACTGACCCCATCAGTAGTTTCCATCATCTTCAAAAACTCCCTGACTATCACTTCTGTAAATGATAACTGAATTTTCAGTGCTATTCATAAGCGCTGTAATGCCCAGAGTGTTTTGTAACTCAAGTTACTTCACCGAAAACTGTATTTTTGTTTTACACAGCAGTAAAGCTAGGCGACAAACTGAATGGAATAATTTAAACCTGTTGACCATTCTCCCCGTTAGAACCTCTTTAGTTCCAAGTTTAAAGGGCATTCTATTATCAGGTTACTATTTACCCTGGCCGCAGCAAGAAGAAATAAAAAATTCCCTCCCGCACACTCCTTTGCATTCTATCTCTAATTCATTCTGGAGGCCCTAATATTAATGAGAGTGTAACCATGTAGCCACTGCTCTTTCTTGTCCTTAGGTTCCGTAGCACAGCCATCCACCTTTCTTTTAAGCAAAGCAAAATGGAACAACGCTGTTGTCTAAAAAAGTTAGATTAATTAAATTAAATGAGTTGTTTTTACTGGCATTCTGTACTGTTTGTTGAAAGCAGATGAATGAGCCTCGATTTTAAGCTGTTAGGAACAAGGATGTGCAAAAGCATTCCATTCTTTTTCTTATTCCTTCCTAGTTAAGTAAGTAAAAAGTATTTGCCGTATTTTTCCATCACATGTGATAAGAAAAATGTTAATGAAGTTTTCTTAAATGGAAAAAGGAAACCTTAGAAGTGAACTCTGATCACTACTTTTACGCGTTTCATGTCTTTCCAACCAGCTCGGTGCATTAAATTCAAATCTGACTTCACTAAACATGCTAAATAACACCTGACTTGCATAAAAGAAATAACCAGGTGCTTACTGTGTTATTAATCATATTGATGATCGACTCAGAAGCTGTTTTTTTTATAATGAGCAAATACGTACTCAAGACTTCTTTGTACATCTGAAAGTCTGCATGGGTTTCTTCAGTGTCACAGGTTTAGTAAACGGTGGACAGGACTTCTTCCACTCCTTGACTGTTTGTTTGTGACGGTCACATGATGCACCACAGACTAATGGGAATCCCTAAGAATCCTTGGAAAAGTACAAATTATTTCTTTCACTTGCACGCTAACGATGAGGCGGAACCCTTTTCCCATGTGGCCTGGTAAGCACTGCAGGAGAGCTGGGGGTGGCTGCTCTTTTCCTCCGTCTGCTGAAATAACCTGACAAATGCTAATTTGTGATACAAAATTCCACTATATAAATCTGAAATTTATGCAGACACCCAGGGAATTTCAAGTTCGATTTGTACTGCATCACAGCGTGTTTTTTTTTCTTCTGTAAGAAAATTGAATTGATATAAGTTGAACTCTTGATATTTTTTTTTTAACAAGAAGAAGCTGTGATTAATTCATAAACGTTATTGCAATAAGTATTTATTACTTTCTCCACAAATAACTTTTCTTTTGTACAGATCTAACGTCAATAGTAAAATGTTCTTTAGCTGCATTAGTAAGCAAGAAATGAGTTTGCTTGCCCATGAGTGTATGTGCTGAAATCAGAGGCACTGGTAAAACATTATATCTAATGCTTATACTGCCCAGGCTGTAATAATACAGTACTGATCACAGTAGGAAAACTGAGGAGGAAAATGAGAAAAAGCTCACAGCTGTGCTGAGAGAAAATAAACAAAATAGCTTTAAATGCAATTCAGAATGGAAATGAATCAATATTCTTATCTAACATACTGACTTTTTCTTAAACCACTGTCTAGGACAGTGAAAAGGAGTTCAGAGTCAAGGTGACCAGAAGCAACAATGTTGGAGAAAGTGCCTAGAAAATCTGTAATTGATACACTGAGAAGGTGTAGAGGAAATGCTAAGTCACAGCCTAAAGCAGTGATTGAGCACCTGGTGGGAAGGCAGGGCCAACCAAGGGATGCTCAGGTGTATGCAATGAAACCTGAGTGACCAGAAGGGGTGGAGCCAGGATCCCCCCCTTCCCAGACCTCATTTAAGGGTTGGCAGTGGAGGTAAGGGCATCTATTTCCAGTGATCCCTCCCTACCTGTGGCCTTCTAAAGCTGAGCAGCTCTTTTCCTTGCCTTCTACATTTGTGGCTGTTGCATTTGGGTTCATTCTCATGTGCTTTAGCCAAAGACTTTGCCACTCTGCTATTATCATCCCATTCTAGCAACACAGAAAGGCAGTTTCAGTGGTACAAATTTACTGCTCCTATTCTCAAAGCAGGGTTAAATGGAGCATAAAGGGAGAGGGATTAAAAAGTCAAATTAACAGCAGTGCAGTAAAGCTCTGGCTGTTGCTTCGACAGCATCACAATGCATACTGAAATGCAACCACTACTTTTCCAGATTTGTACTTATGTGTCAATCACGCATGTGGATCTGTGGTGGCTCAGCCACCTGTGGGAGCTATTCAACACAGGGAACAGAGGGTTTCCTGCTGTGCCTAACTCTGCCTGGGATTTCTATGGTGGCAAATCTCATTCTGGAAGTGGAGACATCGAAAACTATGGGGGCATGTATCAGGTAACTTTCTGTGGCAGCGTTTTGAATTTTTTTGTTTTTAATATTGTTGTGTAAAGATTAGAGTAAAGCCAAAGAAAAGGAGTAGTTCATTGTGGGTTGAATGTTAGTGGTGAGTGCTGCATTGTAGGCTTCTCTTCTGGAAAAGTACCTGTGCTGCACAGTATTGTAGGCAGTGAGAAATCGTGAACCCTCCCTACGTGTTTACTGTGGGCATGTGAAGGAGAATGTGTCTGAATTGACTGAGCCCAAGTCTCTGGGATCTGTCAGCGAGCTCTTTCTTGCAGCTTGTAAAATCAAGTTGCTCTTGATAAGGAGATGCCTAGAAAATAGAGAGCTGTGCAGGATACCACCCTGGTTGTGTCAGTCCATTTGGACGTGACATAGGCAATGGTTCTTTATCGAGGTTACAGTTCGGCATTCATCCACTTTGCTGTGATGTTCTTCCAGTCACCAGGGACTTGCCTGACAGCCATCAAATACAATGGAGAGGGGCACAGCAGTTGTATCATCAGTCCCCTCAGGACCCTGGAGTGCATGTTATCACACCCCATAGACTCGTACTCATTAAGTCTTTTCAGGTGGTCTCAGACTCACTCCTCTCTTACAGCGGGAGTGATTTTGCTCCGCCATTCCCCATCTAGAGGTTTAGGGACACAAGAAATATGGAAAGCCTGACTGCCATCAAAGATTGGGCTGAAGGACTCGCTGAGCACCTTCCCTATGTCTGTCATTCCCACTTCTCACTTCTCACTTATCAGAGGCAGTACGCTTCCCTTGGCCTTTGTCTTCTGACCAGCGTGTCTGTAGAAATTGCTCTTTGTTATTTTTTAAGTCTCCTGCCAAGTTCAGTTTCATCTGTGTGTTGGTTTACTCATCTTTGCATGTCTGGAAAGCATCCGTATATTCTTCCCAGGTTACATGTCCCTATTTCCTCAGCTGTTACACTTTCCTTCTTTTGCCTTGTTTTTTTCCCCAGCAGGTCACTGCTCTGTCATACACTGGTCTCATGCCTCCTCTGCTTGGTTTCTAATGCTGGGAACGGGAGAACTGTAGTGCTCTCAGAAAGGCATCGTTAAAGAGTTCCTCATATGCTTCTTTCTATCTCAGCATTTGCGAATATATATATTTTTTTCTTCTTTACATGGACTGCTTTATTTTATGTAATAATTTCATAGTTAGCCTCCTCTGCCTGAGTAACTGAAAGCTGTGAAGCATAGAAAATGTTGCAGAAATGGAACCTGTCTGAAATAATACTGCTCGGCTGACTTTATTCCTATTGGCGTGGGAAAAGAAGAGCCAAGGAGAGAGTTAGGTCTTATTTTTTTCCGTAGATTTCATAATGATGGGGCTTTTAGTATTGGAACTCATTTTCTACTTAGTGTTATTTTGTTGTTGTTTATTGTATTCACGATTCTATATGCTGTTCAGAAACAATCGCTCAGAGGAGCAGCTCTCTCCTTTCAGGAGAATCTGTTTCATTCAGTATCAAGTCTTGACAGATAAGTGTGCTGGTACCCGAACCCTGCATGGCCTCATCCAACAGGCTTTGCACCTTACAGGGACTAGGGTTTGTACTTGAACACCTCATTAAGGACACTTCAAAGAGTAGGAATTGTTCTCCGAAGGTGAATACTTTTGCCACTTGGTTGAAATTCCTAAAAGTTACCTGCAATGTGGATGAGGAATTCTTCTAGACAGGGGAAAAATGTAGATCTGACTCTCTTTAGCTCAAGAGAGAAATTGGCTAATATGGTGATTCAACATTTGGAAAACCACATTCAAAGCACTCACTTCAGTCTTCTTGTCTTCTGTGAAACTGGAGGACAGATGCAGAGGTTTGCTTCTGCAATGGAGACAAAGGGAGTGAGGACAAGTAAATACATGAATTTTAGCACCCCACTGAAACAGTTTGATTTCTTTTTTTTTTTTTTTCCTCTCAGCAGGTAAAATTCTTAGCTCCCATCATTCCCTAGTTGGCCATTCGCCCATTCATAAAGTTATCTGGGCGGTTGTGGAGAGGATGATGTGAATAGAAGTTCTGATCCTATCAGATATACATGTGGAATCATTATTGTACTGGTCTGAGGATGACAAAAAACATCTGCTACCTGGGCTGTTTTGCACCACGTGGAGAACTTAAGCAATTTATTGTTTAAGGTTACTGAATGGGAAAATACAAGAGCTCAAATGTTCTGCAAAAACAAGTGGGAAAGTAAGGAGCTGAAACGTCTCTGTGGTAGTTAATGCCTGGGCTGCTAGGCATTAGATTGTCTTTTCAGTTACGTTTAGATTTTTCTTTTCCCAATTGATTATTTATTTCTAAGCAATTCGTACTCTTCTTAAAAGCTAAAACTTCACTTTGTTCCTGCAAAGCAATAAATTCTGCCTGGACAATGTGGTAACTGGTTTGCAGAGTAAAGAAACCATACAGGGTGATGACAGCAGGGCAGTGTTGTTAAATAAATGCTTATCTGAGCACATGGTTATTCACAGTGTCACAGGAAAACATCCGTTTAATTCTAAGCAAAGCCATTTGATAGGGAAAAAAACTTTAGCCTTGTGATCCCTGAAAAATCTTAAAGGAGAATTCTAAAAAAACTTCTGAAATTCTTGGTTTTAGCAGACAGGCCTTCTTAAAGGCATGGCTCTTCTGAGGGGTAATTAAAACTAAGAGAATGTAGTGTGGTGTTAGCATTCTGGGCCGCAAAAAAAGGATTTTCCCTAGTGTTTTTTTGTGTGTTTTTGTTTTTTTTTTAGAAAGGTAAGTAAAGCAAAGCACACTGAGTTCTGAGTTGGAGGGTAAAAAAAATTGCCATTGCAAACTCATGACTGGCACTCAGCTGGAAGCCAGTTTCTTGTTAAGGATACAGCAATTAAATGTCTTTTGTGAAGTAGATAACTGCCCCATTTTGGAATCAAGCAAATTGTGCCTGCAGCTTTTATATGTAAAACCTCAGATCCGATATCATAACTCACCATAAATAACTGAGATAAGGGTTCAGCAAGTCAGACAGTGACTTCATGAAGGTACTCTTGTTTGACCATCTTACTTTATCAGTTTTATCCATTTAAAACTATAACAAAAAGCATGTCAGCCTGGCTGTTTCCCCAGCAGTGCCACGCAGCAGGCTCATTTTTCTTCCTCAGGAGTCAATTGACCCATTCTTGTGCTTTTTTGCTAGGCTCACCAAGTCTGTGGGATCTTGTCTCTTAGGAAACATGGTTAGAAGGATAAGCAGTTCTGCCAACTTCTCTGAGGCCAGCGTGGCCTGGTCATCTAAACAGCTTACAGTGTAAGCAGTAAGGTTTGTGAGATCACATCTGAACCCTTGCTGTTTCCTCACTTTTCTTCCTTCTTACCCCTGGTTCTTGTTGGGTCAAGTAGTTCAGAACCTATGAACCACAGAAGCACGTAAAGAAGTTTAAGAAACCTACACTGTCATTGTACAGTTTATTTTTATTGCTTTTCAAATGGAAAAAAAACCACCATAGTTTGTCATGCATGCCGTATGCTTGCAGGGAAGGATTTATCTTCTGTGTGGTTACTCAAGTCAATACACAAGTGAGATGATTACGTGCATGATTACCACACTTGAATATGGAAAATGGAAAAGGTCAGAGCTTCCTCCCTCACGTGCTCTGTGATTAGGGATCAGTGCTCAGTATAAACAAAGATGATGTTCTTTGTCACCCAACCCACAAATTAAGAATTAGGGCTTCTATATATGATTTGTCTTAAAAGGATTTCAAAGGAAATCCTTTTGACTATTCACTGATGGAGGAACACACTCAGAGAGCCTAGACATACGTTTAATGCAAAGGTAAAATCCAAATACAGTTGCTTTTCTTTTGGTAAAAAAGTAAATGCAGAATAGGACATTTGTTGTTTGCATTAGAGTTTATCCTCAGTGTAGGATGAAGGTTTGCAGAAACTAACTCACTGAGATTTGACACAAAGACTTTGATCACAATGCACTAGTTGGAGTTACTGAGCAAGAAACCAGAGAATTCTCAGTGAGCTAATCTTAAAGAAAGGAAACCAGAGTGTTTTTTTTTATTGTGAGACACTCACTGCCTTTCTGCTTTCAGGATGCACACCTGCCTTCAAGCTTGGAATGCTCTACCAAATTCAAGAAATGCTGCTATTCAGAAATTCAGCTGTTAGAAGATACTGGAAGCATACTCTGTGTCTTCAGTCAGTGAGTAAAGTAAGTCTGATGAATTGTGGTTTTGAAGCAGATAATCTAGAATTTTTTCTTGATTTAGGTCTGGCTTCTGAATCTTTTCCAGAACATGAAGCACTAACTGGCTGATCACAGAAGAGGTAACTCATCTCCTCTTTCTTATTCCTCAAGACAAATAAGCTCATGTTAGCAGCAAGGAAGTAAGTCCAAAGCACAGAAATGCTGGTGCATCCCTTTATTTGCAGTAAGGATTCTTTTTAAGTTTAAGTTGAAGACAGGTATCCACTCCACCCGAGAAACTTCAGCTTACTAAGTTGTAACTCTTTCATTTTAGTACAGATATTCCTTGGCATACTTACTGCTACATGTAAAGCAGAGCACTTCTACTTTTAGCAGAAACACTCTTTCCAAACAACTGCACTGAGCTGGTAATTGATCTGTAAAATGGATGCATCATCACCTGCTTCCCAGAAGCACACAGAAGCAAACACTGTTGCTACCAGCATTTTTGGGGCATACCTTGCAACAAGCACAGAGTAGCTCGAGTCCTCCTACACAGCTTTGCTTCAGCAACAAGACAAATGAAGTGAAAGACACCTCTTAAAAGGGAGGCCTAATTTTACCAATTTTAAAATGTAAAATTTTTAATGTTGCATGCCCAGTAATTCAATTTGGTGCACATTACAAGGCATTACCTTAAATGCAAGTAAAACCTCATCCCCACAAGGAGATCATTTACCGCATTGAAAACATTGACTGTTTTGGCCTTATTCTAGATCTCAGGAAAGGAAGACTCCTAAGCATTTCAATTTTTTTTTAGTTTCCTAGTAGACTTTTTTCCTAGCAGTAGTTGGTAAAAGTCACCAGGAGCATCAACCTAACTCCTTTGTAGCCATCTGTCTATTTAGGTCACTGATACTGTGAAACAGCCCCACACCTCACCCTGCAGCAATATCAGAACCACAGAGCTTAAGGATTGAACAGGGATTATAAAGGGCTCTGCAGAGATCATCTCATTCCCGGAGGAGGACACCGAGCACCCGTCAGTCTCTCATCCATTCCTCGGAAAGGAGACGCTTCTGGCGCCCCATCATCTTCATCGCCCTCTGCCAGACCACAGACTTCCCATCCTTCTCGACCTGCAGAGCCGAGAAGCAGCCACGGCCAGCTGCACGAAGGTCTTACCTGCTTCCTCGTCCCGCTCTGTAACGCGAATCGGGGCTCCGCCACCGATCTGTCTTGCCTAAAAAGCACATCGCCATCCGCAGCGGCACTGCAGTCACGCAAGCTGTCCCGCTGTATCTCCATAAAGGGCACGAGATGGTGCTCCTGAAGTTATAAAGCACTGGGGGAAAGGAAGGACACGCGCGGTCCCATCCTACTCGCTGGCACTCTAAGCTGCAGCCCTATGCAAACCCCGAGCACAGAGCGCTTACCTGGGACCCCGAACGCTCGCCGGCTGGGGCCAACGAAGGGCTCCGCTGCGACTCTCCACCTGCAAGACAGACTTCAGTCTTAGCAGCCATTCGTGCTGATTCTCACCTCCAGCAGCGCACAGGCTGAACAATACGGCCCCGTCTCGCTCGCTCCCACCGATGACGGCGGGAGGATCCGAAGCGCCCGCAGACAAACCCCGGGGGTTTGAGATGGAAATGAGATGGAAACCGGGCAGTGACGGTACTCCGGCTCCGAAAAGCCGGGAGAGCCCGGCGGCAGCCCTACACCGGTCCTAAAAACAGCGGTGAGAACATCGGACGGCTCCCCCCTCCGCTGTCTCGTTACCTCCGGAATTGCGCACATGTTGGGCTGATCCTTACTGCGCGAGGTCTCGCTACAGCCTGAAACAAAACGAAGCAACAACACCGAACGTTAAACAGAATCCCAAGGCTTCCTTTTAAAAGCCACCCCTCGCGTTGCTTTTCAGCCCCAGAAGCGTTACAGCAGGATGAAGAAACACAACCCGCTCCATCTCCCGCAGCTGAGGATCTCCGCGAACCTCCTCGTGAATCCCAGCCGCCTCCGGCGGACCTTAAGCGGCTTTGAGGCGGGCTCTGCCCCCGAGCTCCCGACGAGGCGCGGCCCCGCGGCACCTGGCGCTAGTTAGCGAGGCTGGGTCTCGTTAGGGCCGGCCCGGGGCTCTGACAGCTCGACACGTGGGCTCCAGATCTGAATTACTGACTGAATTTACGCTTCAGATTACAGTTTGTTACGCGCTTCTCCTTCTCTCCTCGTTGTTGGGATCGTTAACAAGTTAAATAATCGTACCCGATTCAAACGGATCGCTTAGCATTTGACGCAAATGGAATGACAGAGTGACGCTTCCAGAGAACGCCCCGGCCGGGACGGTTTGGAGAGACCCCTGCCACGTGCTTCATGTGCTTTCCCTCGCCCCTCGTCCAAAAAAAAAAAAAAAAAAAAAAAAAAAAAAAAAAAAAAAAAACCAAAACCTCAAAAACCAACCAGCAAAAGAACGTTTGTTAAACCTTTTGATCTCAGAGAAAACATGACTAAAGATGGCGGTGGAAATACCAGAGCTGCAATGTGACCAATGGCCAAATGGCTGAATGATATGTGCCAGAAAATGACAGACCGGTGGATTAGAAGGAGAGCTTTGCAAACACTTCTGTGCTGCATTGCTCTGGTTATGTTCCTATGCCCTATAATTTGGTAGGAAGACTTTCTGTGAGATTTTAGTTGGACACAGGCACTATGAAAAGCCTACAGCGATGAAATGCACGTAAACTACGTAGCAGTTTCATTCTTAGGTTTAAATCCTGAGAGTTAGACTGCACTCATTTATATTATTTATAATTGTAGAACTGCAAATGTTCTTATTGTATGTTTTTACGGATGTATTTTCACAGCCATCAGCAGAGATCCCGCCGAGACTGTGTGACACATTGCAGTGTGCTCTGGGAGAAGAAGCAGGTTCAGTGACAGGTCGTCTTGCAGCTTGCAAAAGGCTTCCATTTACACGAACATACAGGGAATTGCTCTGGGAGACAAATAGCATAACAGCACAGGGCTTACAATTATTTGTGTGAGCTGTTGCTGCCTTAGGAACAGCAGCATATTCCAGTCAATGACACAACAAACTTCCAGTCGTTGAGCTAGCTGAAGTACACTGCGAGAGGACTTGGTATTTCTTTGAAAGAGCCTTTTGCTGGACTCTTGGAAAGTGCACCTCACGTTGCTTTTCTGATGGTCAGATGATAAGAAGAAAGGAGGAACTGAACTTTGAGTTATGATTAATTGCATGCGAAAGGTGAGTCGAAAAGCATCTTTTGTATAATCCATACTCATTTAAATTTAATTAAAAAATAAACAAGACAAGTTATGAGGGTTTTTTTTTGTTAATGTACATATAAAATAATCATTTATAGTCATTAGCTCAAGCAAGAGCTTTTTTAAATTGAATTTTGCCCCGAATAATTGATTAAACAGACAAACAACCACTGAGGACTGAGGACGGACTGTCGCAATGCTAGGACACCAGATGACATCAAAGATCACAAAATAAGGCCATGCCTGTTCGACGGTCACTGGGGTGGGTAGGTTAATGAATGTGGGAAGGTAATGAATGTGGAAATACAACCCATTTCAGAACCATCGACTGGCAGAGCATTCTCGGAGAGTTATCGCGATGCTGCCCCAGCCTTGCCTATAAAGAATACCTCGCTTAATGGTAACAGAACTTTGCTGTTCAGTTTCTGCTCGTTGATTTTTTAAAATCAGAACACTGTGTTACTGAATGAAAAAGTGCATCCCTCTGTTTCTAGCAGCAAGCGCTCCATTACTCATTTTTATTAAGTGCTTAATGACACGGGCTATTGGAGTAGTTTAACCTCAGGTTGTCTTGGGACACGCAAGATAACAGGCTCTGTTCTTGCTACTACCTCAGGAAATCTGAGCTGTGCTTAGATTGAGGGCGAAAGAAGTATAGAGAGGAAGAGCGTGGCTGTACCTAGGTTCATATATTTGTGATAATGGATACATAAGCAATGTGATTTTTAGACATTTTTTGACCTCAGTGGTCAAAAGCCCATCAAAAGTGCTGAGCTAATCTGGCTGCTGAGGTGGCTGGCTCAAAGTCGGTAAAGGAGAGGCAGAGTGCCACTTTGCTTCTCATTCATAAGGGTGGTTTTCCTCCTTGCGATCTGAATGTGATGGGTGATCAGAAGACTATCTTCACAGGTGTTGTCTGTTATGCTTCTAGCAAGAGGTGGGTGTAAGGCCAGCATGTTGTTGCTACAGAAATAACAGTGCTGACAACATTGACGACAAGAGGCACGACGTATTTCGCCTACGCCTATCTTGTGAATCTTGCCTATGCCGCAGTCAAAATAGTGGATCCAGAATATGCAGCACAGGGTTTTGTACCTGTCCTTGTTATGCTTGAAGTATTACAAATGTTTTTGTAAATCTGACCATTATCGGTCAGGCTAGGAATCTGAGTGCACTTATATGTACTACCATCACTTCCTTGATTTGTTTCAATTAGCATCTGTTGATTTTGGGACTATATAAAATGAGAATGAGCTTCTTTGTGGTATCGTAGTGCCTAGACGCTTGTGTTCCATATCCTAATTAAACTGACCCTGTAAACGGAACTTCACTAACATGCCTGCTCATAACAAATAGTTAAGAAACCTGTTTTAATTTCCCTTCTTTGCTCGGATAGCTGCATTTTGAAGTTCATAACTAAAATTAGGCAGATTGTGTTTGACTCTGTGCATGAGAGAGACTTTTCTCTTATTGCTCGTCTAAGCAGGGCACCAACAGGCTTAAAATAGCAAAAATGAAATGCAAAAGGAAAAGAAAGTATCACACTAATCTTTCACAGCTTTACATCCAAACAAGCAAATCGCTATCAACAATTAGTACCGATTTTAAATTTTGTAAATTACAGTGTAATAATTACACTTAAAAGATTAGCTTATAAACGTAAGCATTGAGTTTCCTGCTCTCAGCTCTCATTTGAGAATTGCTTCCATTTTCATTACTTCATCGTCATGCTTGTAGACATGCACACACATCATCTGTTGACCTGGAAGCTGCTATTACAGTCATGTAGGTTGGCTTTACAGTTACTTCAGGAACACTTTAGAAGGACCAGAAAGTCTCATCTTAGTGCTGATTAAATACTTTTCATTGGACTTGCCCGCTTACTTTAAATGTACTTCTTTTCCACCCTTTGCACTTTTATGCTGTGAAGGAAACGTGGTTGCTAGAAATGAGTGAAACTTTAGTAGTGATGGTCTTTGTTCTGCTCATAAAGCCTAGGCA